GCCTGATCTGTAACAGCACCAGATGGTGTGATTGCAAGGTCATTTTCACTGAACTGCTGGTTTCCGTTTTTAATCTATCAGATAACCTGAATTTAATGACTTCTGATCCCAGAGCAGAGTCACTTGCTGCCCATATCCACCATCGTGTGCTGCAAAAGGGTTACCAGTGAAACATGATCGGAAGCTCTTGTAAAATTGATCAACTAATTGCCAAATTATTGAATAAACAAATATGAAAATCCGACCTAACTTGATTTACCGACTGCTGGTCAATCAAAAGTATTTGGATAATATCCAAACTCTATAACAAAATTAAACCGTCTTACAAGTTAAAATGATGAAGGAAAATACTCTCTGACCTCTCTTTCAAGCAACTTAAAGGTAGCAAAGTTGTTTGCCTGGCGAGAGTTCATTTCAAAGTATTCCTTCCCTGGATAAGCTTTTGCACAAGAGTGACCATATTTGACTTGAAAAAGTCATTATTAAATAATCAGTTGACTTGGTATTCATGATGAGGGTCACTTCCTTCCTGCTCCCAGCAGTTCCATCTTGGACGGATAAATTTAGAAAAGTGGAAATCCTGTCTCACCTATAAAACACCTCTGCTTAGTCATGCAATAAATGGGGAAAACACAACAGCTTTACTCAGAATTTAGGAAAATTGATTTTCTGGTTTTTAAAATATCTCTGAAGAAAGTAGCCAATAGTTGAGGGTTTAGCTCTGTGCTTGGGACCACTCCTACATCCAAGAGTGCGATTCGGTTACTGAGTGCATCGCCTGTGTGCAAGTGAGGTGGGACCCTGTGAACCAAAAAATCGGTAAGTGAAATGTTTTTCCTCCCTGTTTTTTCCAAAAGTTAGGTAATTTGCGGGTTTTGAACTCGTCTATGTTACCTAAGGTGGTGATAGCCTTGGGATAAGGGTATTTCATGTGGGAAAAGAGTTATCAATGCATAGGCCTTAAGCCTCGTAAATGTGAGATTAGATTAATTACAACCATACACGATTGTTGGGGAATTTGTACCATAGTTGGCATAAAGAACTCTGGACAACCACTATGAATACCGTTTACCGGCAGCTTCGCGGGTGAAGAAAGCACGTTATTTTGCACTGACTTGTTTGCCACTGAGCCATCAGTCAGTAGCAAATGCGTCCACGGATCAGTTAAGCTGACAGACAGATTTATACGCTCGAACTTAGGCAAGAGGTTGAGGAAGAGTCAAATGCATTACAAGCACCAAATATGCTAAAAGCCTTTTCACAGACTACGAAGTCATTCTAATTCAAGCATTTTATCTTTCCGATCAAAAATGAATCACTTTCAGCAGTGTGACCTCATTCAAAAAAGGATCCGGCTTTGACAAGAATCTCTTTAATTTTACTTTTGCATTTCAAGATCTAGTTGGAACACTGTCAGGTTCCACTTTTGTGCCCCTTGTTGCCAGCATTGGCTATTTACTTAGTATCAGAATTCCCGGTCTACTTTTTCGTACTTTAAAGCCAATAAATTTGTCTTGAATGATCAGCGACCCATATTTTGTTCCTGGGTCCTGTTCAGACGAATGCAAATAATTGATATGTTAAGATTTATCTGCCATGTTTGATTAGATTTGCCAATTATGAACGGCCGGATGTGAGAACGTTCAAATTCTTATAATTTTGGACTCTTGCGATTTTACTGCATGAGTGGTTCAAAAAGTTCCATTAAAGAAAGCCACAATTATGCGAGTAATATATTAACATGTGGCCAAAAAACTACTCAATATCACCGGAATAAAGACGACTTTTGTACCTAACTACAGTCGCACTTGAGGACCTGTAATGAAGTGAACGTGAGGGAGAATTTTGGACGGCTGATATGTTGTCCTTACAGGATTATACTTTATTCCGCTTCAAAGGGACGAAGTGTAAAGTCAACCATAGTTTATTGTCTGCACTGCAAGTAATGTGAGGGATAATTTGTCCTTAGTTAAGAGGCCGTAAATCAGACTCATGAAGGGATAGACGACAGTCCCCAAAAGGCAACACCTGAGTCAGGCATATGGCCACGGCATTCATAGGAAGAGGAATTGCGTTAACAACAGGTGTTTATTGCAGCTGGTAGGTAGAAATAACCACAAATACGTTCTAAAACTGCCTTTTATTTAGGTATTTCAAGGGGGATAAAAGTTGCTAAAATATGAAAGGGTGAATATTTGGGGGCCCAAAAATTTAAAAAGGAAAGTAAACTGTCATGGAAGTGGCTGTCAGCTTCCTAAAATTATAACTTCAAGTACCTAGGTTATGAGTAATAGTTTACACATATATACTGCTGTGGTAAATGTATACGCATCGGCGTATTACCCAAACTACTGATCCTTAATTCTCTTAAACATGAGAAATGCAAGGAATCATGGGATCTGAAAAAAAGTAACAAAATAATCTTGTGCATAGACGAAATCTGCTTATCTATTTGGAAATCTGTACCTCTAATGAAAAAGTGTGCTATGCTATGAATGTTAATAGTCTATCGCCAAGGAAAACGATGGCAGGAATTCCCCACTAAAATCCCCAATATAAACGAAATCGGTAATTCATAGGTGATATCAGCTTTTTCTAATTAGAGAATATTAAATCAAGCCCTACAAAAATGCATTCCTTAATGGCAGGACAGGGGTTTTGCCGTGCAAATTGCTTTCTCCAAGTACTGACCAATAAACAAGCATACTAAGTTAGAGTTACTAAAGCAATGAGCATAATTTTATAAAGATTTACAAAGATTGGTTTTACAACCGCTTTCCCATTAGGTCTGATTGATGTATTTTTAATAGGAAAGGACGGAATTAATTGTTTGTAATTTTAGGTTTAATGGTATTGTAGTGCTTATTATCACAAACGCTAATAAACTTATTTGTGTTTTCTAGCATATTTTTACGATTTACTGTTAGTAGTGCTTGATGGTTGATGTGCAAATAGTAGCGGCTGAATTTGCATTGTAATTAGAGCCTGTGCGGGTCATAGGTCAAACATTTAAAACACTGCAAAAAATAGACAGTTGTACGGTGAAACTCACCTGACCTCCAGATGACCCCACAAAATACTTGCAATCACATGATTTAATATCACGCAAAGCGGAAGGT